CTTCATTCCACCTAATGTTTTTTCCAGTCTCTCTGCATACAAGTTCGAATCATGCATCATGGTTCAGTTTTTCCTCCTATTTATTTTTCTTTTTTTTTTCTTGTATCAACAATCCATCCTTGTTGATGCTTAATATGTTGTTTTGCATCAGCAATCCATCTCTTCCTTTCGTTCATCTCATGTTCAATCTTCTCCTTTTCGGAACCGAGCTCTGCATGCTGTTGAAGTAGTATATCCAATTTGAGTTGGTATTTCTTGATATCCTTCCTCGAATAATCGGGCATTTTCAGTGGTAGTTGACTTGTTATCCATTCTTCTCTCATTCTCTCCCACTCCTCATCCGTCCTTGGATGTTTAAAATTAGAACTGTAAGAGCTTTCATCCGTTGTTATAGAGAAAATAGGAAAAGATAACAAGCAATAAGTCTTCTAACATCTTCCATTATATAGGGATGGATAGAGAATAACACTATGACACGGTTGGTCCCTGAAATTATAATAATTTACACTTTGGTCATGGCAACTTTATGACCAGATTTGACAACACTGTGATAGCTTTAAGGGTAAGGGCCGATAGTGCATAAATAGTGGGGAAGAGGTCAGAATTTCCGAATGAACCTTGTAAGATTTAATGACGAATATTGTTAGACACGATTTAACAAGTCCATTGAAACTTTATGAACCGATTTTACAACACAATGACAACTCTAGGGATAGGTGGAGATACTACATAAGTAAGGGGTATAGGTCAGACTTTCCGGACGAATCTTATAAGCTTTAATGACGAATATTGTCAGACACAACTAAACAAGTCCATGGAAAGTTTATGACACTATTTTACAACACAATGACAAATCTAGGGGTAGGGGCAATAATACATAAGTCGGGGGTATAGGTCAAGCTTTCCGGACGAATCTTGTAAGCTTGGGTAGAGGGCAATAGTGTGATAGGATGCCTCGTGAAACCAAAAATCACAACTTCATACCGACCATATTAAATCTTATACAATTACTTGTCCACTTTCTGGAAGAAATGGATGGAAACCCATCATCATCAAACCCTCCGCCTTCTCAAATCATGCATACCAGGATGAAGAAATCCATAGAAAAAACTGAAGCGGAGATTAAGGAGATCGGTGATGATTGGTGGAGAAACATGGAAAGGCACAGTAAAATGGAGGAAGCAATCGAAGAGAAGAAGAAGACTATAAAGCAATTGCAGAAAGATATTCGAGCTGAGGAAAAACTTGTGAAGGACATAGCGAAAGGGTACCCCGTGATGCAGGAAATGATCAATGAAATGCAGTACTGGATTGAATGTTGCGAACAACTTTATCCAGAAGGGAATTAGCAAACATGTTTATGTATTAATGTTGTTGTTCTCATTGATGTTTTCATGGTAATGTTATGTATGAATGTTGTTGTCTTAATTGATGTTAGTTATGCAATGTCTATGTATTAATGGTTAATGTTCATGTATTTATACTCTTATCTATTTAAAAGCTTTTTAATCCATTATATTATAATATACTTTCATCTATTTAAAATATTTAATAGAAGCCCCTCATTTAATTTGTCATTCTACAGTCCACGTCATATTTTTCAAAAACAAAAATTACTTAACATTAAAATTCAAATATTTAAAAACATTACAATAATAGGTTAGTGTAAATTAACCCTTTTAAAAACCTTTGCCTCTACATTTACTTACTTAAATCACTAGTATTAAATACATAGTCTTGTGTAGTAGCAGGCTGAGACGAACCACAATCGGTTGTTCAACTAACCGATCTTCGACGACTGCTTGAACTTTCATGCGTCGACCTAGGAGATGGCATCGGACTTGGACAATTATAACGAAAATGTCCACTCTGGTGGCATCGACTGCAAGTTTTCACTATCGGTTCCTCGTCTCATGACGGGATACGGTCACGGTTGCGTGGTCTACAGAGTTTTATATGTTCATAGGAGGCGGTAGGAAGGTCATAAGTTCATCGGGCAACACATATTCAGCTTTTGGTTGAAGGGGATTTACTTCCTCCTCGCATGTTGCCCGATAAGAATTGGAGTTGAACCAAACCGAACAAAATCGACTGCAGTTTTGAATATCTAAATTTCAAGCAACATATATGACATGACCGTAAGGTGTACTAGAAAGTTGCCCATTGCATGCATCTACAAGTCTTAGCATGCAAATCGCACTTTCCGTTCTTATACCTATCATCAACTTCAAACAACAACTCACTAATGGGATATACCCTCCATGTTGCACTCCTATGGATTCTCTTTTCAATTTTTGCCTCCGCCCAAGGTGTCGCTACATTTATCATTTGTGCCGCAAATAAATGATAACATTAGCCCATGTTCCATAATCATACATATAGTTTTGGATGGTTGCATTTACCTCCGTTATGCCGATGTATAAAATACCATTTGTTGCAATATCACCTGATAAAATTCAACTAACATTGTTATCGGAAGGTAACGTTCAAACCGGGTTACTGGGTTGATAGACTCGACACTATTGGAAGTCATTGCACTGTAACACAATCCAGAGAAGTGTGATATTTCCCATCTAATGTAACCAACTTCCTCAAGATATTGAGCGGTGTTAGGTAGACTGTGTCGCATCAAATCCATTGTAGCTTCAAAGTACAACACCCTATAAGCTTTTCATGCCTCCTAGAACATCCACATTTTTCTTTTGTCTCTACTCGAGATTAGGCGCAAGTTCTGGCTAAAATACCGACGACAAAGTCCATGGTGCATGTTGGGGAATACAGTTCTTATGGCCAACTCGATAGAGGCAGCCCTATAGGTTTCGAAGGTTAAATTGGGCATTTCATTGATACATTGCCTCAACTTATATAAAAACCATGTCCATGACGGGCCACTTTTTTTCTTCCCCACTTCTATTCCAATGGGTACGATCTCGTTGTTTCCATCCATGATGACCGCTAAGAACATGGTGCCCATGTATGGTCCCTTCAGATGTGCACCGTCCATTATAAGAAGCGGTCACAGGTGTCCAAGAAACGAGCGAATTTGCAGATGAACGAGGTTATAAATATAAACTTCAAAACATAAAATTATGGCATGATCTCTGTCATAGTCCCCAGATTTTCTATCTTTATATTGTGACAATAAATCGGGAGTAGGTTAAACGACGATTCAGGGGTCCCCCTCAACAGTTGCAAAGCATACATCTTTTCTCGCCATGCTTGACTATGCTAATATTGAACCTTTAGTTCACATCTTCCATAATTTCTTTTCCATGGTACACTCTCCTATAATCCTTTAAAATATCTGCCAATACATGACCCAAAACCTTTTTATTAGCATTACCGTGTTTTGGGTGGATATGGGGGCCTTGAACATGTGTATTCATCACGCAATTTTTGAACATGAAATATACTGGTACCATCAATAAAAACAACCATTAAACTCCAATCACAGTCTAAACCGAAGTGACACACCGCCTCGTACTGGTGTTTGGTTCATTTTTTAACCTTTATCCAGAAGTTTTCATAAACGCATTTTAATTTCAATGCGAGCTTCAGTGCTTCCTTCGAGTCAAAGGTTTGAAGAATTTTTACATGAGATGTACGCTGGTAGGAAATGTTTCTCTGTCTAGGTTTGATAACAGGGGCTAGGCAAGGTGTTGGGTCGAGCATACCCCAAACACTATTTTCTTATCGGATGGATTTCTTCAGCATCTGAGTTATCGTTTTCGGGTATATTCAAAATTTCTGCTGCAACAGAAATATCTTTATCCATATCTACCTCCCATAAAGTTTTTGACTATTCCGGAGACTGGATCAGGTACTGTTTCGGAGACTGGTTCGAATTTTGAACCAAATAACTGTTATGATCAACAAGATTTTTTGGTTCAAAATATGAATTTTTACCAACACCACCAGGGAAGAAAGTGTTTGGATTTCCACCACTACCACCGGGGTAAAAAGTGTTTTGATCGTATATGTTTGCACCACTACCGCCAAGTAAACTTTGATGGATTACGACACTTGATGAATTTCCCCCATAACCACCATCGTCGACAACAAAGAGTGTCAACATTTCCTGTAAACTTTGATGAGCAACGTTTTGGAACATCATCACATCGTCGTCGTCGTCTAACTCATATAATTTTTATAAGGAATTATTTTTATAAAATAATCTTAAAGGACTACGTAAACTTAACTTTTTTGCAACACGTTTAACCAAACCAGAATGTGTTATTGGCGAAGGCAAAGGTAATATATGTATGGGGGATCCTAACCGCATACACTCTAAGTCACCATTTATCGTTTGGAATGAACTGTGACTTTGAATATACACAAAAATGTTATCACTTTGACATGGTTTTATATTTGTGTTTAAAGGTGAAGGGTGTGATGGTGTATTGTTTTTAATGGGTTAAGGCTTAAGAGTTGTGATGGTAGATTATGTTTAAGGATTAAGGGTTGTGATGGTAGATTGTATTTAATGGGTTAAGGGTTGTAATAGTAGAATGTGTTCAAAGGTTAAGGGTTGTGAGAATAGATGTGAGGAAAATTTGTCAATCTAGAAGATATGAGGGTAGAAGTGAGGACTGAGTGTGAAGAAAAATGAATGAGAAGACACAAGCTATATATAGTTATATTTTGTGCACTAGAATACAAAGTAGGGGTCAGATCGCCCCGGGGTAGATCCTGAGGTAAGTGGGGGCGATCCCTTTTTATAGAAAAATAAGATACCTTGTCCCTCAAATAAGATATATGTAGGATTCCAAATCAATTAAAAAAAATTGTGTACTTTTTGGGTCAAAAATGGTCAAATCGTTCCCGTATGATCAACATGCCTCAGAAGGCAATATATATGGTCATTTTGATAAAAAATTATAGAAAATGACTATTTATTAATTTATTAAGTATATTTTGATACTTTGATGATTTTTCCTATTTAAAATCACCCAATAAAATTGAGAGAGAGAAAATAATGTATTACACTTAAATTGCAATCACACGGAAAACAAAATGAAATGAAGCCTACAGAAACAAAACCTTATCAAGAGTAGAACCACACCACACATCCCTTCCTTCTCTTCCGCCATGGCAGCCTCCACAGCATCCACCTTTCACATCACTTCCTCTCCTTCCTTCACACTCACCGCTCCCAAACACCAACCCACCACCATCAGTTTCCGCTCGCTTCATCGTTGCCGCCTCCGTTCCACCACCACCTGCTCTTACAAAGTATCAATCGAACACGAGGGTCAAACGACGGAACTGGAGGTAGATCCAGACGAAACGATACTGGAGAAAGCGTTGGATACAGGATTGGACGTACCACATGATTGCAAGCTGGGAGTGTGTATGACTTGCCCTGCAAAATTGCTTAGCGGAAGCGTTAATCAGAGCGAAGGGATGCTGAGTGACGACGTGATTGAGCGTGGATACTCGTTGCTCTGTGTTTCGTATCCCAAATCGGATTGCCATATCAAAATCATACCTGAAGAAGAGCTGCTTTCCTTGCAATTAGCCACTGCCGATGATTAGATTGAATTTTGATGTAGCTTTTTGATTCCCAAATTTTAATGAATCCTTTCGTTTTCCAGTTTTGAATTCAAACAAAGTTCATGTTGGAAGTAGCCATGAAAGGCTAAACTATAAGCATCTGATTGTCGTTAATGTGAACCAGGAGAAGTAATTCAACTTCTGTTGATGGTAAAACATTGTATATGTTGCAATTTCTTACCCATTTTATTCCACACTAATCCCGATAAAATGTAACCATAAGACATCCTTCAAAATCACGCCGCAAGCCTTGGTTTTTGCCAATGAAAACATTGGGGTTTTGCACAAACATTTTATTTCGGTTTGAGTTTTGGACCATTCGTGTTTTGCACACCTTTACATTGAAAGCCGTTGACCCTTCCAACAGCCGAACCGAGACGTACAAAAAGGCGCAAATTTGGACAAGGCCTTCGAGCTTGATTTATGTGCTTGGTTGAGGCCTTAGAGCTTGATTTGGTTAAAGATTTCACGTCCAGGACCGACAAGGACCGGACCGGTTTGTGAAAGGTCAAGACCTCGAAACTTGCTTATGTGGAAGCAATAATCAAAATAACTTACGAAAAAGTCTCTCGAAATCGATCAAAAAACTTCACAAATTCCTCTTCCCTTCCTTTCATTCTCCTCGGGGTGCCTTGGTTTTTTCTGGTGGTTGAGGTTTACCTCCCACCCGAGCACGTTATTGTCAGGCTTTTAGCGTTTTTTTTCTTGATCTGGTGGGGTCTTCCCCCTCTCTATCAAAAAAAAAAAAAAAAAAAAAAAAAAATAAAAAAAAATCACAAAACCGAAAAAAAAAAAAAAAAAAAAAAAACTTAAAAAATCCCTTCAAAACAGTGAGATTCGGCTAAAAACACATCGAACAACTTTACTCTTGTAAAGTTGCAGCTGGTTGGTAAAAAATCATGGATAGACCACACCATTATGTATGCCCTTTAAGAGAGCCTTCTAGCTATTGTAGACTCGTTCTTGCAATTACATAATCATATATAAAACTTGGTCGAAAATTTTGTTTTTTCGACCAAATTATTATCTTCGAGAAAAGTCGTCGAAAAACCAAACTTTTCAATGGATTTTCGATGGAAATTTCCGCCTAAGATGCCCCTTTATTTTGTACTTGTAGCATTTATCATGATTGACGATGTGGTTGATAGTCTATTTGCACAACTCTGAACGATGTCGTAAATCTTATAGCGAACGACCTTGTCTACGACCCATCCCAAATTAAGCATCATCGATCATCTTAACAAGTTTTCATAATTTTCATTCCTTGTTTTACATGGGATTGCAGTAAAGCTGGCAAAAATAGAAGCAGACGAGTATGACTTCATCGTCAAGTAGGAATCAAATCTAAAGCACATGATCGAAAACCATCCCAGCATGGATTCTCGATTAATAAACATGGGAAGAAAGACGAAACAAGTTATATATAATAACAGATAGCTCGAAAAAGAAAGAAAACATCGGTTAATTACATCATTGTCCATAAAGAAACCATTGTTAAAGCAATCATCAAAGACGACATCCAGTTGGTTGAGAAACCCGCTGTAGATCCGCTACAAGTCAGCCTCTTGTCGTGATACATGCATTGAGTTCGGTTCCTGAAATCCAACCAAAACTAGTTAACCATCGTCACTACACTATGACAAATCAATCGGGTTAATTTATAGGAAGCCAAAAATGACAATGTGTCTTAATAGACTGTTTTATAGAACTTAAATGTATAGGACCAAACAATATATAAAACGTTCTATGTGGAGTATTATAATATGTTTTTGGACGACTTAACAAGTTTCTATTATATTTTTAAAACAAAGTGTCGCATTTCATAAGACACTTTTGAGAAGTGTCCTATAAACACTTCTTTTTATAATACACTTGTTTTTACAATATAATTTTTTAAAAAATGTTTCGTAAAAATAGCTAATATGGCGCTTTATTTTAGAATTTTCTTAAAAGACTTCTTAAGACTCCCAAAAGCGTTGTATAAACTTAGTATAACACTTTTAGATATGGCTGTTTTTTGAGTAACCGTAAGTACTATCTGGCCTGCTTACATGCACCGACAAATCTCCTAGGCGACCATAGTTGAACCTTTACAGCCACAAAAACTTTGGCAGTGTCTCGATTCAAACCACGAAAAATGAGATCTCCACTAGAGCCTAAACGAGTGGATAAGACACTTTATTGTGTGGTACTGTAAACTTAAGTTATATAAAACAATCTATTAAGACACTTAGGGCCGTTTATCAAATGCTTATTTGAGTAAGTGCTTACCAAGTTATATTACCTTATCGGATGAATATGATAAGAACCAAAAATCTTACCCGGTAAGTGAGGCAATGACTCTTATCACGGTCAGCTCTTACCGGATAAATTGTTGCATAGAAAGCCGTTTTTTGTTGACTAAAATCTTACCCGGTAAGTAAATAATAATAATGAATTTTACCGATAAGTGCTTACCGGATAAATATTTGGTAAACGGCCCCTTAGTAATTTTTGAATCTTATAAACCCAATCATTTTGTTGTAATGCTATCAAAACCAGAGAAAATAATGGAGTATGAAAAGAGAGAAAGAATCAATACTTGGGTGCACAAAATGTGATAAGGTAATCAGCCCCAGAACAAGTAAAAATACTTGTTGGATCATCATATGCATAACTGTAAGAAGTAGGGCATGCTTCCTTAAATTTCTTCGAGTAATACGTAGGTTGGCAAGTCGACGGGTTCCCGTAATTACCACGACAACAATATTGGTCGGTGTTAAACACGTCACATGCACTTCGACAAGCTGCCACCTTACCACCGGATTTAACAGAAAGTTCCGAAGGACAGTTATTGCGCAGATCGCCTATGCATCCAGCAACGCTGCAGTTTCCTTTACCATTAATGGGTTTAACAGACATGGGCAAGTTAAATCCGTCGACAAGGCTAACATCGTAGAATTCCAATGTCGTGAGTGTGAATTCAGCAAGTGTGGCTGGGGTTTCGCCCGAGCCAGAACACTGGAGGGATGAGCCACATCGACCCGTTAGGCATGTTCCATTGCCATTGCTGTTGAAGTTGCACTTGGTTCGACCCCAGATTCGACCTGACCAACCAACGGGTGCAGTGTGGACCCTGGATTCTTTCGCTTTTAGTGCGTATCCTCCACCCCCGAAGCTGTCACCAGGGGTGATCGCTGGCCAAATCGTTTCATCACAATCATTTGTTATGGTGAAAATTCTTGCACATTCCAATAATATGTTTCCTGTCAATTGTCAACATATCGTGTTAGAAAATCTAAAGAAGATGGTGAATTTACGTGACATGAATCACTCCTTACAACAAAATCGGGTTTATATATGATACCAACAGTATCTAACAGATTGGTTTATAGGAACAAACAATTCTAAGTTGTATGTAAAAGTGTTGCAATAAGTTTATAAGACGTTTTTTGACGTCTAAACAAGTTTACATGTTTTAGTTTGCTATAAATCCGATTTTGTTAAAGTAAATGTGTACCTGATGAAAGAAGCAAGATCCATAGAAAGAACATAAGCATAGAGGTTGGCATGGCCATGGTTTGGAAGGTAGGGATGAAATTAATGAGATGAATGAATATATATGGTTTTAAGGTTAAAATTCATATATGCATGTGATTTTGGCTTGTGATCATAAAACTGGAATATGTACAAGTGGAGGAAACCAAAGGAATCATTTACATATAACATATAACTTTTAGATTCCCATTCCAATCCTTTGGCTCAAGCTTACTACATTCCATTCTATTCTATTCTATTTTATTTTCCCATAACTCCAAAGTTAAGACTTACCTTTCCAAAATTATCAGTTTTAATCGTTAGAGTAAACTACAAATTTGGTTTCTATACTTTGTTGAAAATAATAATTTTCATCTCTATAAATTTAAAACTAAAATGGTACTCGTGCAATGCAGCGAGATACATCTTTATTTTAATATTTCGTTTTATCTTTTGTCTTTGTTGATATATAATACGGTTTATGTGGTTTTGATAAAAATAATGTTTTTATTTTTGAATAAAAATAAATTCGAAGATATCATAAAAAATTTGAAAAAGATATATTGATATTAATATCAAATTAACTATTTAAAAGTTTTTTTTTTATAATTTATTTAATTCAATTTTTTATTATAATTTAATTTAGATCTAATAGTGAGGTAATTTATTTTTGACTAATATAAATTTTTTAAAGATAATAATTTTGTTAGAACTCAATGATTATCTTAATTATATTTTAGATTTTTTTTGTATTTAAAATGAGATGTTTATCCTAAATTTGATTATGTTTATCTGCGGTTAGTTATACGAATTAAAAAATGGAGCTTTAATAAGTTGTACATACACACAATTTACTTGTAATCTTAAATGTTAAGTAATGCATAATTTACTTGTAATCTTGAATTTTAAGTAAACATTGGTTTTATGTGGTTTTGATAAAGTGATAATGTTTTTATTTTTGAATAAAAATATAAATTTAAAAATATCATAAAATTTTGAAAAAAAAAATATTGATACCAGTATCAAATTAATCTTTTTAAAAGTCCTTATGTTTTGACATAATTTGCTTGATTAAATTTTTAATTATATTTTAATTTAGGTTTAGTAACAAATAAATTTAATTTAGGTTTAATAATATAATTTTTTATTAATATAATAACTAATTATTTTATTAGTTATCAATGATTATCTTAATTATATTTTAGATTTTTTATATTTAAAATGAGATGTTTATCCAATATTTGATTATGTTTATCTGTAGTTAGTATGACGAATTTAAGTATATGGAACTTTAATAAGTTGTACTTATGCACAATTTACTTGTAATCTTAAAATTTAAGTAATATGCATCAATAAACAGTACTTCGTGCATAAAAAATCGTTTTTAAGAGTTTTTGTCAAATGCTTTATAATATAGTATAGATAATTTAGGTTTAGTAACAAAGAAATTTAATTTAGGTTTAATAATATAATTTTTTAAAAAGATAATAAATAAGTATTCTGTTAGTTATCAATGATTATCCTAATTATATTTTATATTTTTTATATTTAAAATGAGATGTTTATCCAATAGTTGATTATGTTTATCCAATAGTTGATTATGTTTATCTGCAGTTAGTTAGACGAATTCAAGTATGGAGCTTTAATAAGTTGTACTTATGCATAATTTACTTGTAATATTAATTTTTAAGTAATATGCATCAATAAACAGTACTTCGTGCATAAAAAATCGTGTTTAAGAGTTTTATCAAATGCTTTATAATATAGTATAGATTAGAAGATAGTCATCCTGGTTTATAAGAACGTCTTAATTCGATCCCTTCTTTTAACAAACATTAAAATATTCTATTAAATGAGAGACATTTTCGTTTCGTTATCAATTTTTTCCGTCTTTAACCTATTAAAATCATTTTTATGATTTTTGTCTGTGTGGTTCTTGATTGGGTAAAAGACAAAGAAATCGATTAAAGAACGAAAATGTCTCTTATTTAACCTGATTTTTTTAACGGCCATTAAACAGAAGGACCAAATCCGGAAGTTTTTATAAAACCACGATAACTATTTTGTAATTTCGAAACTGTAAGGATAAAAAATGTTATTTTCGACAAAACAGAGGGAACAAATTTGTAGTTTACTTTAATCTTTACTTTTTGAAGGTCACTATAATTTCATTGCGGACTTTGGTTTGTGGGATTCGGTCGGATTTGAAATTCGATTTTATTTTAATCGTGTATATATTTAAAGGAAAGCCCATAATTGAACTCTTACAAACATTTGATTTGGAAATCCCATAGGGTAATTGGTATTTCACCGAGATTTGTTTGTAATAATGTTTTAAAATATGCTAAAAATATTTATTTTGTGATAATCAATTAATAAAAGGTAATTTAATTAATTTTATAACTATTTATAATTTATATATATATATATATATATATAAATTATCTATAAAGAATGGGATTCAATTCCATTCCAAACCCTACAAATCAAAGGCTCCAAATCCATCTCTTTATTCTAAATCATTCCACAAAATCCAAAAAAGATAAGAAAGATCGAAAAAGTTTATTAATGAACACTCAAGGTTGAAAAACTCGAAAATTGCCCGCTTAATGTTATAAAACACTTGATTCAATTTTAGAACACAATTAGGACAAAATTAAGAACCAAAGATTGAAATGCATTTAGAAAGGAGGATCTCATGATCTTCTTCAATATTTAATTTTGAAGGGTTTTTCTTGATTAGGTTACGAGTTCTTCTTTATCATTAGATACGCAATCCAATCTGTTTGAAACACGAAAAAGTTGTTTAAGTTAATAAAAATTGTTTACGTCAATCTAAATATCACAAGTTCAAATATCAAACTTGCATATTGTAAAGTGCATTTATAAGGATCATCAATAATGAAACAAGTAGAAAAATGGGTGACTGAATGTACATTTAATGCAATGCAGTAGGGTTTAAACACACGTCAAGCCTTTAAAGAAAGACTTGTCATTTGCTACAGTGAATAGTACAAAAGCCTATTCATGAGCAGACATCCTTTCATGGAGTTGGTGGGTAGTAGAGTCAACTAATCGTTTCGTACCATAGTATAATCTAGAAAGGGTATGGGTTTGTCCTTTGTGTGTGGAAGGACAAGACAAAAACAATATTGTTTAACAAGCTTCATTTGATCGTTGAATGCTAGAATAACCCTGAAGGTCTCTTCAGCATTCGTTGAGGCTTGGGTAGCCTTCACACATATGTTGACCAGGTTGTAATCACTGAATGGCGCTTCAGATCACGAACACGCCAGTCTCTAATCTTCAGTTTCAGTCTTCGACTTTCATTGAAGGTTATTTGGTGTGAGTTTTCTCTTCTTGAAGTATCGATGTCGCTAATGGATTTACATTACGTGTTCTTAGCAATCATTGAACAGACTTAGTGATGATCACTGGAACTGAAAGACATAAACAAAAATACTTCTTATAAAGTAAAAGAGATTATCATCAAATCACTGAGAGAGAGGATCAACAATCTCCCCCCATTTGATGATGACAAAGCAACATAAAGAAATTGTCTTATCAAATAGCAGTAAGGAAAAGTTACTTATAAATTTCATGTCCCTTTTACTATTTTGGGATCTTTTTCATTGAGTCAATCTTTACTTAGAAATTTTCTTAAGTATAAGTTTAAGAAAATGTATAAGAAGGGAAACTGAAACTGAAAGCATGTTCACTGACTTATAGATTATCAGTTAATGTAAGAGTAACACTGAAACTCATAGACTTGTGTCCCTATTACTCTTTTCAGGGATCTTTTTCAGTGATGCACAAGAAATACTTATATTGATTTCAAAATAAAATATTACAAGTCATTCAGTAGATGTCTTAGACTTACAAAATATAAGTTGAACACTGAAAGTAGACATAGAATAGAAAAGGTTTACACAGTGAATGGACAATTAACAAAGGAAAGTAACTAGTCTAAGTTGTTCAGATTAATGAAGCCACGTACATTTTCTCAAAGCTCCTTTCGACGTAGAAACTCCCTTCTGATCTTGCGGTCCATCATTTCACCTTTGAAGTCTTCATCTAGCCAGAACCTGAGGTATCCAAGATGTTCCATTGGGCATAGATGTAACTCAGACATTCTTTGAAATCTTACTTTGCCATCATAGTCAAGGAATATAAGTCCTAACTTAGGCTTCACATGCATAATGTTTGGTATGTAAGGACCCTTCGCTGGCAGTGAGAGATTTAGCATTGATATGTCTGGCTTCTTCAAAGCCTTTAGGACTTCATCCAAGGAGAACTTTGTTTCATGTTCATTACTCAGGTATGGTCCGTTATTAGGGATTGAAGGCCTTTTCCTTCTTCCACCTTTCTTCAGCATTGGCTTTTAAGGGATTGTGACATACCTGGACACCTTCTTGATCAGCTCGTTGATGATGTCTTTGACAATCGGTTTATGTCGAGATTTTGAGTACTGAATGGCTTGGCGAATCTCCAGCCATTCGCTGTAGCTATATTCGCCTAGGTAGGAAGGGTACTCGGTGACCGCCTCAAGGTTATCCCTGGTGATGAGCATCGATATCAGCAACCCACCGTCTTTTATCCATCCACTGATGCTGATGTTTGAAATTGGATGAAGGCTGATTCTCTTATTCAGGCATACTTCGCTCCAGCGCTTGTCACGATCGGCCAGCTTCAGGTTCTTTTCATGTTCAGGCTCTACAATAAATAGAAGCTTAGCTTGGGCCTGGACAATGTCCACCGTCTTTTTGGCTTTTTTCTTTGGAAGAATTTTGGCGGCTAGAGACTTGGCCAGCTTTAAGCTGTCCTCAGTATGTTTTTTTTTTGAAGTTCAAGTTCTTCCTCGACCTTGAGAGCCTCGAGTCTTTCAGCTTCAGTCAGGAAGTCGAACTCACCACAACAAGAGGTACGAAGAGGAATTTTTACTCTAGTTTGGTCGAATGACTCCGTGAGCCGTGTCATCTGCTGGTCGGTAGGAGTGTTGGGGGTTGGGTTCTCAGGGACCCATTCCTCCAGCC